TGCAGGATCTTCAGTTTAGGATGCAACTACAGCATCCCTGGCAGGGGATCCCTGGCCCAGCCTCTGCTCAAATACTTCCAGCAAAGGAGGATCCCACCACCTCCAAAGGAAGTCTGTTCTACTATCAAGCATCTCTCACCATTAGTCAGATCCATTGAAATCTACTTCCCTGTAGTTTCCAGCTATTGATTCTAGTCTTGCCTACTGCAACAGCAGAAGACAAGTCTGCTGAATCGCCTGCATCACAGCACTTCAGGTATTTCAAGGCCACTACCATGTTTTCCATCAATCTTCACTTTTCCAGGCCAAATATACCCAGTTCCTCATGGTATTGGTTTTCAGACAGCAAACCATCTGAGTCATCCTGTTCTGAATGCATTCCAAAAGACGTGGATTTTCAGGCACACTGAAAATCAGCTAGAAGACAGCCATGAACAAAGCCACAGATTCTACTTCTGCTCCAGAAGTTCCCAGTGCTGAAGACACAAGCCACTGTTCAGTTTGTGCATGCTGAGATCCACCCTGGTCGAATTCTGAAGCACAGCGGCAGTAGGGAAACCAGATTCCAGCAGATCTGGTCCATGGTTCCACCTCCCAGTTCTACAGACTGCATCTTCTCTCTCTAATTTCTCTCCTCCTGGCATGATCTGTCCCCTTCTCTGATGACACAATTGTATACCGAAATAAATAAGTTAGTGTATAAAATACTAAAAGATTATTTGCATACTATCACTAGAAAGTGCATTTGTGCTCTTTTGCAGCTCCTATATGTTCTCACTGGGCTTGTTTCCATAGAAGAACTTCCAGTGAATTATGCCATTTGTCTTTATGTTTGTGTGTGTCTGCAACAGAACAGCTATTCTGCTAGAATGGGTACATTTTTATTATCAAGCTTCTGTCTTCATTCTGCATTATTCAGTTGCACCGAAGGCATTATAATTAAACGTGTGTTAAAAACAGCAACGGACTGAAGATCAAGCAAGGTGGGGTTGGGTTTTGGAAGGAAAGTAGATTGTCGCTTTTCTCTTGCATAGTATGCAGTCCAACCTTGGATCTAACATCTGACAACATAATGCCATAGAATATTTACAGTTGCACCAGAAGTTGCTGGAGGGAGAGGAAAAGTGCTTTAAGATTGACAAGTCACACACAGCAGCATCTGTTCCAAAGTGCTGCACCGGGGAGGAAACGAGCCAAAATCCTGGTGTGGGAATTCCAAAATCTCAAAATACTAAGCACAGCTCATCCACTGTGATTTACTAAAGTGTGAAAGAGTCACAAGGGGCATGTAAATGAAGAGTAACTATGGCATGGAATGGAGGGAAGTAGTGCAAGCACAGAAACAGCCAAAAAGAGATGGATGGAGCTATTCATTCTAATCAGTTCCGTTCATATGAAAGTGGAGCTTGTGAACCCAAGCGCTAAAGTAACAAAAGCATCCCAACATTAATCAACCCCCAGTTCTCAGAGTTCCCAAAATGAACAACACAAGCAAAATTTGTCGTATTGGCATTTATCTGTACTGTCTGCAAAATGCTATAGTAGAAGATCCATATTTGCAGTCAGAGTTCCAGTATCTGGAACACTGGAAGTAGAAGCAAGAGATGCTATCGGTGCTTCATTTGTCACACAAGAAATGTTGTGACTCCAGGATGCTCAGAAACTCGCACCCTCTGGCCCCAAACTGCTCTCTCTCAAGTCCTGGGTGTGTGTAGAGAAACCACTGTGCACAACGCACAAGCTGGGGAGGGGGTGGACCTGTCACCTTTCCAACCTACAAGTGCGCAAATTAAATTTTTTTTGCATTCTCCAGCATCTTTTTGCATGAGCAACTTTTCTCATAAGTAACATTATGTTCCATTGGCTGAACCCCAAGGGGAAGAGAATTCTGGACTTCCCACAAAGCATCCCATGGGCTACCCGAATCCAAGGAATGCTTTCTTGGAAGGAAGTCCTGCTTGAGTTTTAATGAGATTACCTCCTCCGTTAAGCAAATTAAGCATTAAATATGATGGGCCTAAGCACACTTAAATCTGCACTGAATTGAATTTTGGTCTTCGAACATGGAATGTGAAATCAATTATCCTCTAGCTGACATTCTAGATCAGAACACCGCCTTTCTGGTTTTACCTTAAATGCGGGGTGATCAATGCTCTGATTGAATTTTGGAACTTCTCTCGTTTTTATTACATTTGTAGAGCAATTATAGAATGACTGATTTGTTTTGTATGACTGATTTTCATGTATTCAAATGGTAGGGTGCCATGGCTGGTCTCCTCAATACATTATCAGCAAACCACACAGAGAACTGAAGGAAACATTATCACAAGCTTGCCGTACCCCAATTCCAGGAGTGCAAGCGGATCCGTGCAGGGTATTGCTTTCATTTGACTTGTTGTTGGCATCCATCTGTCTGGGGAGACAATGAAAGAGAGCACTTTTGGGGGTGAAGTCAAACTGTTGGAAGGTTGCAACGCCTGCAGTGGCTTTAGAGACCGATATGGGAGAGACATATTTTGTTGCAGCTAGGGCAGAGGAAGGTGCCTGGTTTTGCTGCTGCAGATGCACCATGACGTTTCTTCTCTGTGTGTTCCTCCCAGTGGGCATTCCTCCTCAGGTCACTGCTGTGGATGCACACTGGAAACTTGAGGCACTTTATAATGCTTGCATTCATTGAGAATTATGTAAGTTGAGCAGAGGCAGGAAGTATTAACACCCTGACACACATTCTAGGTGGGTGGGCAAGGTATTGTACCCTAAAGATGCTTCCAGAGTGCTACCTATAAACACTCTCTCTCTCTCCTCAGGCCTGCCTGAATTTGTCTTCATGGGACTTAGTGGCAGCCAACCAAACTGCTTTCTTTGTGCTCTTTCTACATTATTTCTCAGCTGTTAGAAAGAGCAAGGTTAGCCCCTTTCCAGAAACTTTCTGGCCATTTCCTTAATTGTTAGCTGCTTTGAGACTCCTTAAAGGGAGTGAAAGGCGGGATATCAAATCCAAACTCTTCTTCTTCTTCTTCTTGCGCAAAGGCTGGCTTTTTCAGGACCACCAGTGCATATGTCTGAACAAAAATGAATGGACTAGGCCAGGGGTGGGGAACTATGGCCCTTCGGATGTTACTGGTCTCCAAGTCCCATCAGCCTTTGCCAGCAGGGACAGTTGTTGGGGGTGATGGGAGCTGTATTCCAACATCTGCGAGAGCCACAAGTTCTTCATCCTTCTGGTAGGCTAAACTTGCCTAGCCAGGTTTGATAATCTCTTTTTTCATTTTCTTTTTTTCTTTTAAAGACTAACTCATAGGATTTGCGGGTGGGGAAGTCTCTGACTTATCACCCCAGCTCTTTGCACTGTATTTAGAGTGAAACTGCTCCTGTTATCTGCAAATTATGACACAGTGATAATACCTCAGGCCCAATATGCCATCAAGCTCATACAGCAGTCCCATAAAGTGGCTCATTCATTAACAGGTGTAGTGATACAGAAAGCAGGGCATAAATTTTCTTTTCAAAAAAATCCATAGAACATGAAAAAAGCACCAAAGTGGAGCCTTTTCACCATTCTTCATTCTGCCTTGGCTCTTTTTATTGGGTTTTTAAGTCAGTGTGTTTGAACTGCCGTACACAGCAACTTTCTATTGAAAAAGGAGCTTTAAAGTGTTGAGGTGGTAAATTGCTTATAGTGAAATATTTGAACTTTGGAAAGTTCTTTATTACCACCATCCAAGCCTCATTACTTGTTAGTAAAGGTCATATTAGTAAATGAAAGAAAATTCAATGGATACCTCTTTGCGGCAAAAAGCAATTTCCCCCTTTGAAATGTAGTGACCTTTCTTGTTTTCCAATAAATAGGCCCACTTCTATCCCAAGATACCTGGAAAATGATTTATTTATAACTTCTCCCTATATGCACACAGAAATATGAGTGTTCACTCTGGTACCACAATGCCTTCTTCCTCTTTTTAATAATCAGACCATAAAAATGATTTATTAACAGTGTTTCCTTACCTAAGCCAGGCTATATAACTTTTCTGAGTCTCTTGGGCTTGCCGATTGGAAGGTCGGCAGTTCAAATCCCTGTGATGGAGTAAGCTCTGTTGCTCTGTCCCAGCTCCTGCCAACCTAGCAGTTCGAAAGCACACCAGTGCAAGTATATAAATAGGTACCACTGCGGCGGGAAGGTAAACAGCGTTTCTGTGCACTGGTTTCTGTCACAGTGTTCCATTGCACCAAAAGCAGTTTAGTCATGCTGGCCACATAACTCAGAAAAGCTGTCAACAGACAAATGATGACTCCCTCAGCCTGAAGTGAGATGAGCGCCGCAACCCCAGAGTCACCTTTGACTGGACTTAACCATTCAGGGGTCTTTTACCTACATTTTTACCTTTTATATAGCCTTTCTAGAGGTCTGGCCATGACTCCCAAGAAGCACCTTGTTAGGTGCTCCAATAAACTTCCTCTGCACAGAAGTGGCCTATTTCTTTTGGTGGCTGCAATCTGATTGATTTGTAGATTAAGAAGCTCATCTGTACATTTTATATGAAAAATGAACTAAACCAGAATGCAGCAGCTAGACTGCTGACTGGGAGTGGCCGTCAAGACCATATAACACCGGTCCTGAAAGACCTACATTGGCTCCCAGTACGTTTCCAAACACAATTCAAAGTGTTGGTATTGACCTTTAAAGCCCTAAACAGTGTCTGCCCAGTATACCTGAAGGAGCCTCTCCACCCCCATCATTCAGCCCAGACACTGACGTCCAGTTCCGAGGGCCTTCTGGCAGTTCCCTCCCTGTGAGAATTGAGATTACAGGAAGCAGGCAGAGGGCCTTCTCAGTAGTGGCGCCCACCCTGTGGAACACCCTCCCATCAGATGTCAAGAAAATAAACAGCTATCTGGCTTTTAGAAGACATCTGAAGGCAGCCCAGTTTAAACGAAGTTTTAATGTCTGATGTTTTATCACATTATTATTATTATGATGATGATGATGATGATGATGATGATGTTGGGAGTCGAGTTGCCCAGAGTAGCTGGGGAAACCCAGCCAGATGGGTGGGATAAAACAAACAAACAAATAAATGTTGTTGTTGTTGTTGTTACAAACTCAGAACATAATATATTCTCTCAGCAACTCAATAACAAACTGAGCATGATGACAGGTCCACTTGAAAGCAATCTCTGTTTTCTAAACAGCTCTATGAGAAGCAGATTATCCATTCTCCAGTCATGAAGTGACAGACAGATCATCCAGATAAAACTATTTAGCAGTGTCTGTTGAATAGAAATTATTTTTAATTGTGACTTATATTCCACCTGCTAGTGGCTACAAGGGTAGGGTGGGGCTCTTAGGGGAATAGTACCACCTCTGGTTGGGAACATGTTGTTCGTGCTCCTTCTGGAGTTGTTTGTCCACCTTTGGTTCCCCATCCCGCACTCAGTTCTCACATGTGGCTCCTGAAAGCTGTCAGCATGCAACAGCAGACACACTGTGGGAAGGGCTTCGACTGGCCAGCTAAACCAGATGAGGGTAGCAGATGGGTCTCAAACTCTTGATGACTTAGGGCAGGGGTCGGCAAGGTTTGCCGGCCATGGGCTGGATCACTCCCATGGAGATCGTCCATGGGCCAGACTGGTGCAGCGTGACACCAGAAATCGTGTCTGTGTATGTGTGCAGGGCCGGAAATTGCTTCTGCGCATGCCGAGACGCCGAAAATTGCGCCTGCGCAGAACCGACTTCTGTTGTCTGGACATGCGCAGCCGCGATTTTCGGTATCTGCACATGCACAGAAGCAATTTCCAGTACCGCTTGGTAAGTCCCCATGCCGCACCAGCTTAGCACAGCGCACGGGCGGCTCAGTTTGGGGGCGGCTTGTGGGCCGGTAAAACGGTCTTCGTGGGCCGCATCTGGCCCATGGGCCACACATTGCTGACCCCTGACTTAGGGACTTCCCCTGCATGTGAAGACAGGCTCTGGCAGATTGAGTGGATGAGGCCAACAGTGGTTCTAACCTCCCAACATCTGAATCACTGCCGCTTACTGGGAGGGAGAGGTGGGCATGGTGCAAATCCAATGCTCCAGCTGGTGCGTTTACACCATGTCAAATTCCCTACCTCCTTGCCGCTCCTCCTTTCCCTCCCAGTGACCAGGTGCTGGGAGGTCAAGTAAATGCTTCTGCCTTCTGTGCCATCCATTACTGCAATTATAGAATTGCAGTACCATCCATCAGGAATTAGTAGCATAAAGAAATCCCAACCAACAATTGAGAATCAATGATCCAAAATTATCCAAAACAACAGCATACCAAATGCAGGGGTGCCTGGTTGGTTGGTTGGTTTCTAAGAGAAAAATGTTTATGTCTAATCAGTTGCAAACAGGACAAACTGTCAGGCACTGCATTGCCCTTTGAAAACAATGTGATTATTAGAGGTGGAACAAATTAATGGAGATTAGAATGATGTGTTGCAGTGAAACACCTAGCCATATTTAAGTAAAGAAAAGTACATGAAACAGATATTGGAGAAAAGATCATGAAAGAGGAAGAAATAATAGAGAAAGAACAAAGTTAAGCACAAGGGAACTCATTAAATGAATGGTCTTAGCCACACATTACTCTGCGCTGGATTATATCAAGCAAAGGGGAAATGTCCAGGAAAGCGAAAGGATGGCTTAATCAGGATAGTCTTTATTTATTAATCCGAGTAAGTTATGGAGGAGACATTGTCAAGAATTTATTGCATTACGAACAGAGCCAAGCTAACTGCCCTTGAGACAGATGTCTTCTCTCTAAAGACCAGAATAGGTAATGGAAGTGAACACTTCCCCATCCTTTTTCTTGCCCTTTAACTGTGCTTCAGCACTTTTCTAATGTAAATGACAGCTGGGCTGAACAAAGGAGAATGTTTTTACGCAGGCACAGACACTTCTTGCCCCTTGGTCAGCAAGGGTGCCAAGCTGGATCACAAGTGATGGTGGCAGCAGTGGTTGCTCTTACTTGGTGGCCAATTAGAGACTAAGGACAGTTCTACGACTAGAAGCACATGCAATCTCGGGTTATTGAAGAAAGCAAACAAATCCATTCAATGTTGTTGTTTTTAAAAGAACCATTGCAATAAGCACGATTTCTTCTTTTCTCTTAATTTGGGTTGCACCAAATTAACCCATACCTAGGTCTTCTCAACTTGTATTCCAAGGGCATATGATATATGCTCTGATACCTGCTGCAGAGGGACACGGGTGGCGTTGTGGATTAAACCACAGAGCCTAGGACTTGCCGATCAGAAGGTCGGCGGTTCGAATCCCCATGACAGGGTGAGCTCCTGTTGCTCGGTCCCTGCTCCTGCCCACCTAGCAGTTCGAAAGCACATCAAAGTGCAAGTAGGTCAATAGGTACTGCTCTGGTGGGAAGGTAAACTGCGTTTCCGTGCACTGCTCTGGTTCGCCAGAAGCGGCTTAAGTCAGGCTGGCCACATGACCCGGAAACTGTACACCGGCTCCCTCAGCCAATAAAGCGAGATGAGTGCCGCAACCCCAGAGTCGGTCATGACTGGACCTAACAGTCATAGGTCCCTTTACCTTTACCTTTACCTGCTGCAGAACCTGGGCTTTCCCTTGAAATTTTCGTCTGGCTGTGGCATCAACAGGGAGGGCGCGTTGAGATTGGGTGGGTATTTGAGGGTGGGATTTGACAGTGTAGCAGCAAATCTAGGTTGCACAATTAAAGTGGATTTGGTGGTCTTGCACAACAAACTCACTTCCTTCCCCAAACCTGACGTTTTGCAGTAAGGAAAGTGGTGGGAAAATACACTGGAAAGTGAGCGGTAACAGTTGCCTCAGGCAATGTCAATCTAAACAATCAGGATGAATGCTCCATTAAAAAAGTCATCTGGAAATGACCGAAATTAAACTTTCTCCCCCTACCAACTCAAGGCTAACCAGGCATCTCTGTGGCTGTTATTTATATAATAAAAACCAGTTTTAATTTGTTTAAGTCTATCTATTCTATTGTGGTTTTAACTTTCTGTACGTTTTAAATAATGACATAAAACAATAAAATTATCACTAAAAGATTTATCTTTTTTGAAAGAAATACAATAATTCATGTTAACATCATATCTAGTTTGGTCCTCACTTGAGCCGCTATGTCTGTGCAAAAAATGGAGATGTGGTTTTTCTGCATTCTTTAAAGGAATGGAATAATTTGCAGGAGGATAACTGACATTCTTCTGCAAAATATGCCTCAGTTGGTGTGGAATACTTATCCTCATTTAAAGGCATAAGATGCACCCCTGTATAGCCAATGCATTCTATTTGGAGCGACATTAGGCAGGTCCATTAAGTCATGCCTCTTTATCCTTTACTTAAGAGTAAAAGTGCTGTAGAAAAAGTCTCTGCTGCATTGCTTTTGAAGAATGGGTTCGATTACCTTCTCTTAACAGGTCCTTGACATTTGCAAAAAACATCAGCCTACAAAATGCAGATGATTACTGAATGTTAATAACCTCTGTAGCCCTTCAATGACCTCAAATTGGTTCCTTTGCCCGTTGCAAGCTCTTTACTTATTGCCTCTACCTGTGAAATTTTATGGGAAACTTGTTTTATATTTTTGGCTATTTAAAATGTATTTGTTCTGCAATGTATGCATGCAATTTAAGACAAATGCAATTTGTATTTCATTGTGCTTCATTGATTCTCTAACTTTATACTAAATTACAGGATTTATTTGGGGATATTTATTATCATTTTAAAATGTTTGGGCAAAACAATGCTGTCTTATGGATGGTGTGGGGAAGGGGGAGATACTATGTCAGACTGGCATAGTGTTAGGCTGATTCTATGGGTGTGTGGGGACTCAGCTAGACTGGTAAAGAAAAAGCATTTTATATACACTGAATACGCGATATAACACAGTGACACCAGATGGCACTGTGGAGTTCCATCTTTCCCTACCGGATTTCCCTGTACGAGTTTACAGCGTGTTTAACTGAATCACTTCTCCAGTTGAATCTCCAATTGAATCTCCAGTTTCCATCACCTCAGCTGGCAGAACACTGCTAGTGGGACATGTTCTGTCTCCACTGTTTTGGGGAATGTTAAGTGGAAATAGTCCTGCTGTACTCTGGTCCTGCTTCCTGTAGGCATTTGAGAACAGGATGCTGTAACAGATGAGCCTTTGGCCTGGACCAGCAAGGCTGCTCTTATGTTTTTATGGCATCGATATTCTCGGAGTTTTCTGCTGCTCTAATGGGGAATCTGAGAGTGGTGGGGGGAAGGGCTTGGGTGCAATCCTGTGACCCTTTGGAGGCTGGTTGTATATGACTGACATGGGTGCATATGACCAAAGACCAAACAAGATGCCTTCATTTACCACTCCAGGATTTAACTTCAGAGACCCCAGGGAAGAAATTGAACCCTGAAAAACAATGCTAGCAACTCACACTAATATTTAACAAGGCAACCCCAAATAGCAGAACCGGGGGGCAGGGGGGACCAGGGAGAGTGATTTACTATGGACAAGTACAAGAAAATTTACAGAGAGTCGAAGCATATGAGACTGATGTACGACATCAAGACAGATAGCATTTTAAGGTCTAACAAGAAGATTCATTTCTCTCTAGGGTGATGGGGGGTTGTGAGGATCAGACGCTTAACATTAAATATTTCCACATTCTACATGCCCTCATTTGCATGCTGTTTTAATCAAAATAGTTTATTAGTTGTTCACCACCTGTCACCTTGGAGACAAGGACACAGTGAGCTCTTCATCCCCGCCCTTCCACTACCTGCTCCTCCTTTGACTCCTTATAGCACCTGCTCAACCCTCTATCCTTTTATCATACTCCTCATGTTCTGTGTACTGAATTAGTGCTGGGAGGAGAGAGCAATATTATTTTGCTGCTGCAGCAAAAGTGCTTCTGACAAAAGAAGCTGTTCTAGGCAGCCACCTGGGGCCTGTCTCAGGACAGGGGTGCTGAATCAAATTTTAGGTATGAAACACATGTTAAAGGGTCAGTGTCTGAAAGATGTGAAAACACAGAAAGGAGGAGTGTTACAGTTTGCTCTGTGGAACTCTGATGCTCTGATATAAGTTACAGTCATTTAAAAGACAAGATTGTATATTTGACCAAGTTTAGTAGGCCTTACTCCCAAGTAAGAGGGCAAGGGATTTCAATTTTAGGATTATACCGTAAATCTGTCAAGTTTAATGACTTCAGCTGCTTGATGTTTGGCATGTTGTTGAAATGCCTTCTTGATTTCAATGACCTTAAGATATATATGTATATTTTACAGATTAAATCCCTATATGTTTGTTAATTTGATATTTGATTAAATGTTGAGCACACAATATTGTTTTTAAAACACAGACTTTCAAAAACCTGAAAGTGATCTTTTCTGTTATTTTTAGAACCACACTGAGCATGGGGATTCATTACAACTATACGCATTATTCATCGTTCCTTATTGTTTTGTTAATCTCTCAGTTATTAATTTATGATTCCTCTGTCTCTTCCATTGCAAGCAGATGGCAACACCGGAAGCACAGGGGGACATTAAAATGCTATTGTTTTTAGGAATAAACTTCTCTAGCTCCACAGCTTTCAAGTTACCTCCTCATAGATTCTTTAGGATTTCCACCAAAATAGTACTGTAAATGATGAAGATAGTATCAGAATACAAGGACACTGAAACATGCACTCACTTTCCTTACAGTAAATTATTTGCAGTAGCTGCGACAAATTTGGTTTCCTGCCAGTGGAAAGGTAGTTGGTGACAATCCTCACAGGATCCTTTCCTCTACTACAGGAGAATGGAAACAAAACTGCAAGAGGGTACACCTAGTGGGCAGGGCAACTCTTTTGCCAGCTCAATTTCCTGCCAGCTCCACTATAAATATAAATAAATAAATGTTATTTATATCCCGCCCTCCCCAGCCGAAGCCGGGCTCAGGGAGGCTAACCACAATAAAACAGTACAAATGTACAGCACAAACAACACTCTAAAATCATTCATTATAAAATTAATTAATTCAAGCCACTGGCAACCATTGGGCCAGAGCTCCGCGAAGATTGCCGAGGGAGGGAGTCAGGCTGTGCCCTGGCCAAAGGCCTGGTGGAACAGCTCTGTCTTGCAGGCCCTGCGGAAAGATGTCAAGTCCCGCAGGGCCCTGGTCTCTTGTGACAGAGTGTTCCACCAAATCGGAGCCACGGCCGAAAAAGCCCCGGCTCTAGTTGAGGCCAGCCTAACTTCTCTGTGGCCTGGGACCTTCAAGATGTTTTTATTTGAAGACCGTAAGTTTCTCTGTGGGGCATACCAGGAGAGGCGGTCCCGTAGGTACGAGGGTCCTAGGCCGTATAGGGCTTTAAAGGTTAAAACCAGCACCTTAAACCTGATCCTGTACTCCACCGGGAGCCAGTGCAGCTGGTATAGCACCGGGTGAATGTGAACTCGCAGCGAAGACCCCGTAAGGAGTCTGGCTGCAGCATTCTGGTGGCAGCAAAAGAGAAAAAGCGGGAACGCCAGTTTGGAAGGTATTTTCCTTGTTTGTGTATCATAGGTGCCTAGTACATAAGGTGAATTGTCTGACATTTACATGTTTAATAGTAGGCAGCTAGATGGTGTAAAATAATTTGTTCCTGAAACTGAAATTCTGAGGTGCAAACAGATTGCATACATTCCTTAAGATACTAAGATAAGTTGGTGATCATGATCCCGGCATGGGAGATTGAAAGCAAAAGCAAACTTTTGTCTCGGTATTCAATGCAATTTAAAATGCTCCTATTGAATTGTCAGAATGCATCCATCCACACCACCTTAGGACTTCCCATCTTTTGCACTCAGAATCTACCCTATTCCTTTACACAGAACTATTACAGTGGTACCTCTGGTTACAAACTTAATTTGTTCTTAAGTTGAAACCGTTCTTACCCTGAGGCGCAGTTTCGCTAATGGTGCCTCCTGCTGCGTGCGTGCCCCTGGCACGCGACTTCCACTCGCATCCCAGGGCAAAGTTTGCAACTGGGAGCAACTACTTCCGGGTTAGTGGAGCCCGTAACCAGAAGTGTTCATAACCAGAGGTACCACTGTATAAAGGTAGAGATAAGCAAAGAATACTTTTTTCTGTCACTCTAATGTGACTGATGAGGGACACGGGTGGTGCTGTGGGTTAAACCACAGAGCCTAGGACTTGTCAATCGGAAGGTCAGCGGTTCAAATCCCCACAACGGGGTGAGCTCCCGTTGCTCGGTCCCTGCTCCTGCCAACCTAGCAGTTCAAAAGCATGTCAAAGTGCAAGTAGATAAATAGGTAGCGCTCCAGCGGGAAGGTAAACAGCATTTCCATGCGCTGCTCTGGTTCGCCAGAAGTGGCTTAGACATGCTGGCCACATGACCCGGAAGCTGTACACCGGCTCCCTCGGCTAATAAAGTGAGATGAGCGCCACAACCCCAGAGTCGGCCATGACTGGACCTAATGTTCAGGGGTCCCTTTACCTTTACCTTTAATGTGACTGATGGGCTGCTTGCAAACTTTGCAGGTACTTTAGGGGGTTTATTTCTTTGTGAACATGATTGTGTGTATGTAGCTGGAGCAAAATTAGATCACTGTTGCTTTTAGAATTGGCGTATGAACATTTTTAGTGCTTCTTGGTGTTTATAATTCTTTTGGATCTTTTGTAATACCAAGCTTTTTTACATTACAAGTAATCTTCAGACTTCTTTGATAATAGGTGTCGAACAGCTGAAATATATCACAAACTAACAATACAGAACTGTAATCAGATAGCATAATAGGAACTGTCTGAGTGAACAAATCAGGTCCAGTAAAACCAAATGTCTTTCAAAAGTAATGAGGCATTTCTTTTAAAACAGCATCACTGCAGAGCTGCTTTATATCAGAGGAAAATATCAGCAAACCAACAGCTCCGGCATACAATTATACTTGCTACATTAAACTTTCTAGTACTACGCAAATGCTTCCCTTGGCTGATGTCTCCAGAGTCTAAACTAAAATAAAAGTGGAAGCAGACAACCCAGAAACTCAGTACAAACATGATAGCAATTTAATGAATCCCAGCTGAGCAAAGATCTGAGCGTTCAAAAACGTTTCTTTGAAGGATGCCCAGAATACACCACGATAAGTAAGTGGGATCCATTCTATCCTGATTCATAGATCTTTACCAAGAGAGAGATCCCTATGTATTCAGCTGCTGGACTACCTGTTGGTTGGCATTTGGTGGTGGAGGGGCAGCCATGCACTGTCTGGAAAAAACTCAAAAGGTTGGAAAAACAACGCCCTCGCTAGTTCCTAGAGACTGGCCTTTGCAGAAGAACGCAGGCATCAGGAGCTTTTGAACTTCAAATGAAGTCTGGTGATGCCTTGCTAGGGCATTTCCAGGCAGAATGAGTAATTCCAATCCAATTTCTGTGAGTGTTACTTGGCACATTAGCTTCCACACATTCCTGTTATTTCAGGCTGCATGTATACGACCTGCCACAAAGTAGCTAGGTTGCTCTTTTTCAGATTCAACCTCGTGGGAGGGGGGGTGCATTGAAACATAGTGTTTCTCTTGATGGGGTGACATTTCCTCTGAAGAAGCAGGTACATAGCTTGGTGGTCATTCTGGATCCATTGCTGTTGCTTGAGGCTCAGGTGGCCTCAGTGGCACAGAGTGCCTTCCATTAGCTTTGGCCGGTGGTCCAACTGCACCCCTATCTGGACAGGAATAACCTAAGTTTTGTTGTCTATGCTCAGGTAACATCTCGGTCGGACTACTGCAGCACATTATACATAGGGCTGCCTCTGAAGATGGTTTCGAAACGTCAACTGGCGCAGAGTTCAGTGGTCAGGTTGATCACCAGGGCAAGATGGTTTGAGCACATGAATCTCGGATGAAAGGCAAGGTAGGTATTTGTAAAAAAACATAAGAGGGGGAAACCAGGGTAGATACAGGGCAGTATTAGATTTGTGGCTAATGTTGTGCATACAGTGCTTCCTAAACTTGCTTGGAACTGGGCATGAATACAGGAAGTGGTGCTGCACCCTTTGTAACTCAAAAGTACATTGTCTGCTCTGGAGCAGGGTAAGGGGGCATCCTCAAGGCACCTTGGGTGGCAAAACCAAACTTGTGCCATCCCTTCCTTTGTTCTGTGATTGAATGTTTCTCTGCAAAGCTAAGTCTGCCTGTTGCGAGACATGATCATCCCCTTGCACAAACTCAAACTATCAGTCAGAGACAGGAGAGTTTCAATGGTGAGCTTCAGTGCAAGGATGCCAGAGTAACTCAGTGACAACATTCTGCAGCATCTCACAGATCTAAGGCACTGAATTAAAACACTGACAGATGCACTACGATAGCTTTCATTTAGATTTTTCTGAAAGCTCATGTACTATTGTTCCCGGGAGAATAGACTTTATACTAAGAATGAGCAACACTTCTGCTGTTGGGTGTAATCTTGGGGAGGGGGTTAGTGCGGGAGTCAAGCCCCCCCCTCCATCTCCCTTTCCTGCACATCTGAACTGATAGCTTGCAGAGGGCTTTTGAAATTAGGCAGAGGGCAGAATGCAGCCCAGGGCTACAGATTACCCACCTTTTGCTTCATATGTCCACACTCAGAGACAGCAATGAGTGTGCTCTTGCGCTCAAGTCCTGCTTAGGGGGTTTCCCACAGGCACTGTGAGAACAGGATGATGGATTAGATGGGCCACTGGCTTAGTCCAGCAAGCTCTTCTTGTGTCCTTATGGGAACCGTTTCCTGATTTCATTCATTATAGGGCCATAAATTCTGAAAAATTCAATTGATTTTAGG